GAACTTAAGACTTGTATAGTACAAGGTACAGCTGGACACAGGTGTAAGTTTGGGGCCCCAGCTGCCAGCATAGTATCAACACAGTAAAATGGGTACTGTGATACAGGGAAACAGGGTGAGATTTTAAAAATCTAAGAAAGACAGACTTCAAGGACCAAAATATTACTGTTACATCAGGCATAGCACAAACAGATATGAACAAACAGATATGAAATATCCTGAATTTTAAAAATACCTAAATTCCATTTGGGAATCTGGGAAGGCTATGTGACTTAATGTGAAAGTAATGTGAATCCTGCCAGCTTCACTGACTCATGCATCTTGACTTCTGTGAACTCCAAACAGTTTATGCTGTTGACCTCTAGTTAAGCAGGATTTCACCTTTCATGTATTCTTTTCCTCTTTCCTCTTATGTTGGCCTCTTTGGAAAAAAGTTATTTATTTCCAAATGAAGTGGTTCACCTATTTTTTCTCATTTACACAAGTAATACTTTCTCCCCCACACAACCACCAAACAAGATGAGTGTATCCACCTGGCAAACTTACTTGTGCCTAGCAGTCTCACTTCTGACAAACTTCTTGTTTGTTGAATGAAAAGTGGACTGAATATATGCTCATTTACTGTAGTGTTCACTCTGTGTTCTGAAAACAGAGAGAATACCTTATAGTAGAGATGGGATGTAGCTTTCCAGTGTGTCTGTGTGAAATATCTGTTATCCAGCCGTTGCAAAAGAAACAAATTGCCCTTTAGAAATTTTTTTATGAACTCACATTCAAGTTCTTCTTCTGAGAAAATGTTGATTAGAGCACACATGTATTATGAAGAAAGGCAAGATAAAAATTATTACACATAAGCACAGAAGAAAAAGCCAAATACCTGACAGTGACTTTTTATTGATTTTTGTGTAAAACACAGTCTATGGAAAAATAGATAAAATCATTACTCATAATTTATAATAGCCCTGTTCAGAGAGACAGCACAAACTGACAAACACAACTACAAAGAGAATATTGCACATGGGAAACATACTACGCTCTCTGCAAGACACAGGCAGCAAGGCATGAGAAACGGTATATAATGATAAGAGATTATTGTTCAAGTCAGTTCAATGTGACACTTATTTTAAAGGCTGTAGTCCAATTAATTCAAGCAGTATCATATACTGATACAATATCTGTACTGCAACATTACTCATTACATTGATAGAAAATACTACAGGATGAACAGCCAAGAAATCAAAAACTTGTGTAGTAGGAGATGCCTTGTCTGAAAGAAACTATGCATATGAATCTATTACCACTGCATATATGAAAATATTATACTGAAAAACTCAATCTAATTTTTATGCCACTGATAAATCTTTCAGAGGAAATCACATTCAAAGGAAAAGCTGTTTCCTAACATTCAGAAAGCATTCAGAAAGCTGTTTCCTAACGATATTCATACCTGTGAAATTTATAGACACTTGGGAACTCATTGCCTTGTATTAATTAAAAATTTCCCTTAGCGCTAGTTGGGCAGCATGTATAACTAATATATAAACACAGACAGACACAGTTTTTTATAGGCAATTAATGTCAAATAAAAATATAAATGTACTTTCTCATGTTGGCACATCATATAATGCACAATGTTGGAACAGAAAGTTAAACGTGGCACCAATTCAAAGAAACCATCACCACAAGCTAGATATGCAAAGAACTTGCAAAACAATTACAAAACAATTAATCTCTAAATAATTCAAGAACATGGGTACTTAATTAGTTCGCACATAGTCGCCACAGTTAACAGAATTTTAAGATAAAATTAAGGACACATACGGAACCTGTAACAGAACTGTATTTTAGACAATGTTAAGAAAGAATACCTTAATATCCATAGAAAACAAATAACCTGTTGCTAAATACATAGAGGTCTCCATTTTCTATATGATGTGTACAGTTATCTATTACATGTTAAGCACTATTATTTTTACTGAATAGTAATGAAGAGAAATGACGTTTATTTCATTATTCATTAGGCAGTAAGCAATTTATACAAAGTTACACAAAAATATTTTTATAGCAGGCTATTCCTCAAAATATGTTATTTATTCTCCTAAGTAACTAAGACGTTTAATCGAATTTACTTGTTTATATTTAGGCAAATGAAACTAAACTTTTAGCCTCTGGTCTTTTTCTGATGAGAAGTCCTAATTGATTTCTATAGAAGAACTCACATGTGTTTGATCACATGAATAAAGATTCCTTATGTGACTAAACATATGCATGATATGATACATATTGTGTAGTAAATGCATGAGTGTCATTTTACTTTCAGACTTAACAGTATCTTGTTAGAGTGGATTGGTCCTTGAAGAACACTAATAAAAAATATTAAAATAAGTTAATTTGTTATTCCAGTTAGGAGTAAATACCTGGCCTAATGGGAAACCATGTCATTTTGTAGCACAAATATTTCACAAAGTGTCTTTATATATTTGATCTAAAAATATCATCTTATTTATTCATACTTCAAAATTTCAACCTTTGCAGCTACTTATAAAATCAAAACTCATTTTTAATTTGCTACACACAGTTTGAAAAAAGGAACAACACATCATTATTTTCTTCAGACACCTTTGGCAGTTCAAAATTTAACAGTTTAAACATTCTTGAAGAAATTTAATGATGAAGTAACTTTTTGCATAGGAAAGAGGGCCAATACATTTCTGTATACACTGTCAGTGGTTGCATTATAGTACAATATATATAGACTTTGACAGCAATTTTCAGTGAGTACAGTATCTTAGTTCTGCAACGTTATTGCTATTGCATCAAACAGATAATTGTAGGGAACATGTAAAATTACTATAAAATAACAGCAGCGTATTCAATTTTGAAATGTAATCAGATTGTCAGCAGTTATGGTTTCTGCCCTAAATTTGTTCATGAAATTCTGCTCTCAGTTATACCATCCCATTCTAGCGATTTTAATCAGGTTTTGTGGACAGGATTGGGGTAGAATGTAGCATGGTATTTATCCCATTAAAATTCTCCAAGACTTTTTGTATTGTAAGATTTTTTAAATTAATTTTATTTGAAGAATTGAAGCACAAATGCCTAAGCTTTGTGTGGTTTCTCTCTGCAATAATGGAATAGGAAACAGGCCAGGAAATTCCATTTCATATAATTCTGCCAGCCTTTCAAGAAATATACAGCTTTCTGTATTGGAATGTATTTACAGTCAGGCAAAGTAAGTTAGAGGTTGTAATTGTCACTCGTTCTTCATTTTTATGTGAAAACCTCATTCATACTAGTTTAGGCTCCCGTCTATTTTCAACAATGGCAGGTGTTTCACTTAATGTTTAGAATGTTTAATAAAATAGCATAGTGCTTGTGTATCAACACAAGTATCAATGAAATAGCTGCATAGTGGAGGAGGGACAATATTAGTACCTTGAAACTGATTTATTTTTGGAAAAAAGAATGCAAACTTTTAAAATTAATTTGATAGATGTATTAAACTATTTTTTTTTTCTCTTCCATCTTTTCCTTTCTTTTCCTGTAGAAAACTGGGAAAGTTTCAAATTTCTAGAAAAGTTGGATACATTTTTTGAGGAAGTAGCTGTTAGATACAATAGTCCAGAGGCAGCACTTTAAGTCCTAAATTACTGATTTCCAAGAGTCTGAGAAGTTCTGTCAGAAGAATAATCACTGGACACGTGCCCTCTTTTTGGAAGCATCTGTCACTTGTCAGCTATCAGAAATAAGTCTCAAAGACCTTAGTCTGACCAATTATAGCTGTTATTACTGTTTAGTTTTTTTAAAAAGTTGAAATACAAAGAGTTTTCTCTTTACAATTGCTTCCCTCCTGCTTAAAAAGGAGAATAAAATTGAGTTTTCCAACTATTTGTGAACTGAAAAAAACTTCTCAAATTTCTGTTGACATGCATGAAATATAGGATATTTTTTAAAAATGCTTTCACAAACCTCCATTTTCAAAAAGAATTCATTGACCTCTCATTTGATACAAAACGTTTTTAAAGAAATATTAAAAATGCTTTAATTCTGGAAAAAATAATGCAAATATTTTATTTTTCTTGTCTAGATTTGAACATACTTAAAATGAAAGCAAGTTTATTTGTCTCTTGATTTGCAACAAACCCAGAATATACACAAGTTTAGATGAATAAATTTGAGGAATATGGATACTACAATAAAAATAAAATTGTTGTAGATTTTTAAAAATCTGAAATGAAATTAAGAACAACTAACATGAACTCTTTAAATCTGGGTTGGTGTAACTGGGGGCAGAGTCTGAGTCAAGATTCTTCTTGTTCTGTGGAGCTCCTGGTTTCATTACAAACAGAGATAATGAGATTTACAGGAGCACTGATGTTGAAGGATAAATTCAGGCTTAAGTACTGTATATTTCTGATGTGTTGACGACAAATTCTTGCGAAGTAGTAAATAATAAGTGAAGGTTCAGCTAAGAATTCAGAGATCCTAACAGTCCAAGTATAGATAAGAAAAATGTAATTTCATACAAGAAAATTACACATTTTGATTCATTGAAATAAAGGTTTTGCTAATTAAGCTGGCATAGCCTGAAGGTATGAGTTGAGTTTGGCTATTTTGTTAGAGTAGAACCTGATAAAGCAGTAGTAATAAATAATTGTGAATGTTCTGTTGAATCCCACAGGAAATGCAAATGTCAAGTTTTAGCGATAAATTCATTTTTAAGTACAAGAATAATCATTTTGTTTCTCAAAAATTCAGGCATATCCCAGAGACATTGTAAAAGTAAGACTTTTATATAAAAATAGAAGATTGGATTTGCACAAAAGATACTAAGAATTTAAGACAGTCTCTGGGAAATTCATATATAATAACTGAAATTCCAGTGTAGAAACATGTAGAATATGAGTATTGTGATGCTTCCCTGTTGTACCAACGTACTGGAAGTTTCACAGTAAAAATGGATTTTTATTGTTGCAGATTTCTCACCTTTTTTTTAAAAAGTATTTCCTGATATTTTGAAATAATTTTAAAATCAAAAACTAGGTGCTTGCACACATATGTGCAAGTCTTTCTATACATGTGTAACACTGTTTTGAATTTTCATTATATGATGTATGGAAATAAAGAGATGCCAAAGGTCTAAAATCCTATGTGATACTTTGAAAAAAACAATCCCATTAGTACAATACCATTTGCTTACAAGAGGTACAATGACACCATAACTGAACCTGGGTTTGGATATTCAGATCATGGAATGGTGTAAAACTACACACAAATAAATGTACTGTACATGTGCAGTACATCATTACAAATTAATTTGCTTCAAAAACCTGATTATTTTCTAAATTATTAACTCTATTAGTCCATATTCTGAACTCACTAACTCAAAAGTGTGGTTTTAATAAAACAAACACTGCCCAGAAAACGTGGTATTAATAAATAGCACTCTGACACATATGCTCTAAGTCAAAGAAATATCTGGAAAGCATGGTTATAATACAATATTGATGTGATATAACTGTGCAAAGGAGCATTAAAAAAATTCTGATTTCATAATCATTTGCCCTCTGTAATTCAAAACAAAAACATTTTCATAGTTTTCTGAAGTAGTAGTCTTCTAGTTATAAATTTATCATAGTTTGGTTGAGAGCTTGTACTATACGCCAAGCAAGTCCACAGTGACTTTACTCATACTCTAACTAAAGTCCTAAAAGTACAAGTCTATGACAAAACAAACAACCCACCCAAACTTCTACAACAGTGCTGACAAATAGTAGTCTATCATCACATCACAGTTATCCTTTCTGGAGAGAGATGTGAAACAGACCCACTTGCTTCTTCTATAACATGGCTTTTCTCCCATCCTCTTCGAATTCTCCTCAGTTTCCTACTTACACATGGCAAAAGTAAAACGATCTTACCTAGAATTACAATGGAAGGCAGAACAAGGGCAAGAACAAAATTTGGTGGTGTATAAAATCTGTAATACTCTTCTTCAAAAGCTCTTTTCCATCCATAAAGCAGTACATGGAAAGTACTTATGAGCAGAGCAATGTATCCAAGTGTAGACTGAAAAAAAGAGGGAACAGGGAAAAAAGAAAGAGATAATAGTACTTGGTCCTACATCCAACAGCTCTAAACCATTATTTTAACATTCCTACTAGACACCATGTTAAGATTTCTTACCTATACACTATTTTAAATTAGTGATATGGGGTTTTAAGTTCACATGGTCTGAAAACTACGGCCTGAACTCAACACTGATGTTGATGGTGTACTACGTACCTCTGCTATCATCTATAGGCCTTAGTCAAAGCTGAAATGAAGGTGATGTTTGCCCAAATTCTGAGTAATGGAAGTCAACTTCAGGATATGTGTGTGAGTAAGGAACAATCCCAGTGAAGTTACTAGAACAACATAAACTGTGATTGGAAATTAAGTTCTCTGTGTCTTAACTATGAGACTAGATCACTTACAAGATGAATGACTATGGAGCAATGCAATTCTGCTGGAAGAGATCTGAGCCTAACACTCCAGATTTTTATCAGCCTGAGAGGTGCAGTTTGCTTCTTCCTCATAATGACCTACATCCACTTGTCTGACCATCCCTTACCTTTCTCCATCAGCTGTTGCCTACTGTTTAATGGGAATATCTGGACTGCAAGACTTGGGCATAATGGCACAAGGCAATGATGCAGTTTATCATAAACAATAGTGCCAGATGAAATGTGAAGTAGAAGGTTCCCATGGCACCCTGCAGAGGACCTTTTACCACGTAATATAGAGCATGCCACAGAAGGTAGTGCTAATAGAGGTCATTCACCATCTCTGTGAATCTGCTCTTTTAAGAACCCTGTAGTTGTATTGCTCTGCAGATTTTAGTTAAATGTATTAACTATGGTAAAAAAAGAATTCTGGTGGTGAACAAGTGAAGAAAACCTCTTTTTGGCTAAAAGTGATGTCATGACTAACATGGTTGCAAAACATTTGTAGAAAATAATCTAAACAGAGAATGGATATTAAGAAAGGTAACTAGCTAGCAAGGTTTGGTTTAATTCCAGTAATCAGAGAGGCAAACAAAAATGCAGCCTAAGGGTCTATAATAGTGAAAGAATTAATTCTGTCTACTTCAGGATAAACCAGTTTCCAGGGAAGGAAGAATGTCTGAGCTAAAAGCATTTGCAAGGACTCACAGATAAAATGATATAAAAAGGAAATACTGTTGTTAATTTCTAGAGAATGGTACCATGTTTTTTTAACTTGCCAATGTTTATCCGTTTTTTGCCAATGATTTCAGAGCCATGTTGCCATGTTTTAGATATGCTGCACTCTTTTTTAAAAAAAGAACAATTTACTCCCGAAATACTTCATAAGAAACAGAACAATCAGAAAACCATTTGTGGATATGAAAACGGCATATGAAATATCTGAACGGAAGCTCTGGTAAGAAATTTGGACAGCAAACAATTTTTTTTTTTTTTATTGCAGATTTTTGCTGGTATGACTGTCCTGAATTCATTGCTGTTATATCACTGCCAGCAGGGATAAGGGCACAAGTGAATCATATCGCTCATTTCTTCACCAGGCTTACTGGTAAGAACTATAACAATTCTTGGAAAAGAAACAGGAGGGAATTTTATAAAGACTCTTCCAAAATCTTTCAAAAAAATTTGTAATGCTGGTTTAAATTCCATCTGAAAACTACAGTTTTGAGACATCTATATAGGTCTTTGTATCTAATGGTCAATGGAAGCTAAGAAGTACATCAGTACATTTATCAGTACATTTTGAACTAACAGCATAAGGACAAGAAAAACATATGATGCACCTCTATTAAGGTCTTTTTTTTGCCCTGTGCAAAGTTGCCATATGCTTCTTTGAAGAGTTGGTAAAGCATGTGCTAGTATGTACTGGGCCATTTCAACCACTCATCTAGAAATCTGACAACAAAGACACTCCTATAGCAGCTTCTGTTAGCCACTGATGGTATTTTCTTCTACCAGGCCTTTAATTGCTCTATTTCTGTGCTGTACTTTTGACACTAATAACATTGCTTAGCTAGAAAGAGGATGTCCTCCACACAACTTAGCATTCTGCAGTCTTTGGTTTGTTTAGTCAGGGCAGATCTGCACTAGGAAGTTCCATTAAGAGCATTTATCCCAGCTTGCAGCTACTGACAATGACTTTTAGAAGAAGTACAAGCAAGACTTGCTGCCTTTGCTACTTAAGTAAAACCCCACTGCAGGAGGCTGTGTCAGTAAAAAACTTGTGTTTGTTATAAAGACTTGATTTTTATGTATCTGCAAATGTTCAAAGACTGCAAATGTTCAAAGACAACAATAGCTGTATAGTACAACAATGGCTGTACAATGAGGAAACTCAGAACTGGCGAAGCAGACTTGGACAGAGACATCAGCTACTGCAGGATAAAGCACTGAATAAATATAAAATAAATTTAAAAAAAAAATCAGTTGGTAGCACTGGATCATGATACAAATTTTGGCCAGTGGTAGTGTCAGAAAGCCATATTCAAAAGTTGACAACCTCTATGGATGCCAATGTGAAAGATGTTACAATTACTGAGAAATAAATTATGATTTTGCTGTGGGAGCTGTTGCTGCAAAGCAATCTGTTTCAATACTGGAAAGGTGAGAGGGGTGCCATCATTCAGGTATGCAAGGTCGTTCTCTTCTGCACAAGTTTATAACTAGTCAATGTGGAGGAGGGAATACAAGGAATAAAGACAACGGATTTCCTGAAATGTAGCTGTGTGTCAGATGGAATATACATATTGCATTTTTGTCTTCCTTTCCTGGCTTTTTGAGACAAAAAGAAAGGGATGAATGTGTCTGTGGGAGCCAGAAGATCACTTACACTGATGTTAGCACAGGGAGGCCAGGAGAGGCACAGGATGCTAACTTCTTTAAGAGCAGAGGACTTCTGAAAGCAGCAAGAAGGGATACTTTTCCTTCACTGGTAAATTCACATTGGCGAGTGAGTAGCACTAACAGTCTTAAGTCAGTCTTGGGAACCCTCTGCCTAGGCTCTAGGACAGCTGCTGGGAAAAGGGGAAGAACATCTTTGGTTGCTTTGCTTCCTTCTCTTCCATAACAGTGTTTCCTGGAAACTGAGTAATAGATTAGCACATTTCCTACAGACTTCCCAGTCTTTTAGCTTTTCTCTAAGTCTTCTCTGTTTCATTTCTTTCCCTTCCTGATCAAAGTCAGTTTTTTAGCCAATGTGGGAGATTCCCAGCCAAGGTCAACAATAAACTGGACAAACTGGCATTGTTTGGGGTGGAAAATAAAGTGTTAGAGAAGTGGAAAGATCCCTAAAATGCTACCAGGAAGACATACATATATAGAGACACAAATCTGCTCTGGGACAAACCTGCTTCAGGAGTTTCATGATGGTTCAGTAGTTCCAAGCAATTTATATATATAAAAGGTATTTTCTAAAGCCTATGTTTATGCAAGGTATACTTCAGATTCCCCCAGTAACCAGATATTGCTAAACTTACAAACAGGTGTAGCAATTCTGACTGGAATCTTAGCCATAAACTTTCCAAGTACTCAGGCCTCATTCTTCTTTACTCTGGGAGAAAAGTGTCCTATTCTTATGGGAGAACCAAGGCAGGGTAGCCCTTCCTCAAAGTGTATGTGCAAGAGAAGTTTTACTAATACTGGTTCCAAAAAACTTTAGGCTCGTGCTAGCAGACAAAATGAATATTTACAAAAAGATCACCTTCCTAATAGGCAAATGGGAGATTTGTGCTGATTTTTGCTAAGAAACATAAAGCTCAGTTTTCAAAGCCAGGCTGCTCTGTCCATTGCCACTAAGTGAAGTGCTTTGGACTTGAACTCTTAGACTGCAAAACAAAAGCAATGGCCATTTATGCTTACATTACATATTTAGAGTTTAACTTCCTTCAGAAGACTGAAGGACCTGGTACAGCACTGTTTGCAGACAACATTCTCCATTTCCATGTATTTTATGTGAACACTCAAGGACTGCTTTCAATAAAAGCCTTTTTCTGTTTGCAGTGTCTTGGTTTAGGCTAGTTACTCTGCCTGGTCTGACAAAATCAAATTCTTTTTTATTTCTTGCTCATGTCTACCTTTGTTTCTTATCCAAATATGCTTAGAAGAGAAGAAGAAGAGTACTGAAATGGCATTTAAGAGAATTGATGCATAAATGTATCAGTCCCAGCTTCTTTCCTCAGTAAGCTCCAACTCTGGGTCATGTTAAGATGCCTGCAAAGTTTCATGCTAAGCTTCCATCATCAAGGATCTCCTACTGAGCAAACTCTTTATCACTGTCTGGTTCTGTGGCTCCTCCATCTGGATGTTAAAGTGTTTCTCTCTGAATCATGATGAAGTAACCAGATACTTGTTTTGTACAGTGGTCAGCTCTGTACTGCAGCAACTTCAAGTTTTCTACTGGTCTCTTAGCTCCTGGTAGGGCTGACACAGTAACTTCCTTTTGCATGTTTCTTCAACCTTCTCATATCTCACTTGATTCATATTTGTACTCTGAGGGAATGAGTGGAGCCTGCACTGCTTCTCTTCTCAAAGTCCTTTTCCCTTGATTAAGCAGGCTGGAATTTCTGTGGCTGCTGACACCAGTGTTGTGAAACCACGCTAGTTAAGATGAAGGCATCTCCAAAATAACTGGGGATATCAAAGTCAGCAGTGATTTCTGCACAGTGATTACCAAAACTGAGATTTATTTACAGTATTAGGAAGACTGTGGTAGAGGTCTGTTTGAATCACTGTAGGTAAGGGAGATGCTGCTCAGGGTTTGTACTACTGGAACAAGCCTAGAAAACAGTTTATACTGTGTATGTTAATAATTTGTTAATCTTAAACTCAGATATTCCCAGTAGGACTCAAGACTGAGTGTGTTTTAGTAATAAAACTCTTCAGATGAGACAAGACCCTTATTTTGATGTAACTATTAACTAAGATGAGCAAGCAATGCTATGTTGTTCTCAATGGGAAGTGCTGAGGTGAGAAACTGAGTGTGTTGACTGACTGATTCTTCATCTGTCAGATGCAAAACAAGTTCAGCAATTACTGTGGCAAATCATCTGAGATCCAGGATGAAAGCTAGAGACACACTGCTTTTCCTAGTTAAAAAAAAGAAGCACTAAGATGATGGGCTAATAGTTCCACTGTTTGTCCCCCTGATTTAAGAGAAGATTGAGAAAATTAGGTTCAACTTCACTTCATATTGCACTTCAGTAGGAAAAAAAAAAGACAAGAAGTATTATGATGTTTTATCTGTACTACTTGCATACAGGGCACAATGAAGCTTGTGCAGAAATGAAGACTCCTCTTACTTCAGTGAAGGATCACTGAAAATCTGTTTTCTGACTGAATACAGCAAGAGGACTTTTTTGAAGGACAAGTAACTAAATGAAGAACAATTTACATCCTAAGAAGTCATTAATGACAAAGTACCTTTAATGATCATTAACTTCAAGGAAACTTTTAGTAGTTCGGTACTTTTTGTGATTAAAAACTGCAAATTATCATCCATTAACTACCCATACCAGTTCTCTTTAGCATGTAATGCAGTATCAACTGTAACATACCTCCAGAGCAACTCATCCCCAATAAAGTTCCTCAAAATAATGACAGATGATTCATTACAGTTCATAATTATTTAAATTCAGAACTATTTTTACTTTATTTACAATGGAAATAAGTGCAATAAATATGACACAATGGAAAATGCCCTTGTAGACACATCATTATGTGATTATTGTGTGGGTTTTGACTCAGTCACACAAGCCTGAAAATTTGGAAATTTGAGTAAGGAAAAACAGGACAGAAATGTTGGGTTTGTGGCCGGAAGTCATGACTGGATAAAGGCATCACCTCACTCACAAGTGAATACATATTTTTCCCTTTTGCACTGATCTTTTACATTACCCAACAGCAGTACTATTGTCCCCAATACTGAACTCTGGATGACAGGGATGTTTTAACAAATCAAAATGGGTCTTTAATCCTTCTAAAGGCTCAAAACCATGAGCGTGAATAAACAGTTCTGTCAGGGGAAACTGAATTTGAAAAATTTTTCATCAAACTTGACAGGAAGATACTATTTTACACACAGAAGACCTCTGACAACTACAGCCAAAGAAGTGTTCCCCATCACTCCCTTTAAAATGTCTGAAAATTATAAAGCACAACTCAAGCCCTGAACGGTACAGTCAGTGCCTGGGTTCTGAAGGTAGGAATATGTAAACAGTAACAGGACTAAGAATTAGGCAGTATCATTACAATGGCTATGTTGAAAAGCCAATAATCAGAAAAGACTGAGTAAAGACTAAAGTACTGAATCCAAAGTCAGAGAACAAAACAAGACGTAACAAAACCCAGAACTGCATGTACACACTTAGGAAATTTATCACAAGATGAACTCCTAATAAAATTTGTTATTGCTGACTGCTACCTACAACTAAAGGCAATGTTGTTTGGAAGGACACATTAAGCTGTTTATTAAAGCCTTTATTTCTCAGTATTTTACGCCAGTGAGGTCTGCCTGTTGTAGATATTTAACTGAGGCAGGAGGGCAGCAGAAGGCATGCCAGGACTTGGAAAAGCCTCTGCTTTTAATAAAACAAAGCTGCATATTTTACTAATGGGTATTTTAAGCTAATGGGAATAAGACAGTTGAGAGCTGTATTAATTTCCACACAGTGGAGGGGAAGCAAAACTGAATCAATGACCATGGCTGTCAGAGGGTTGTGCAGTAAAAATCCTGCAGGACAAATTAAGTCTTCAATTTTAACAGTTGTGTGCATCTACACACAGTAGTATCTCTCATCAGTATCACTGCCTTTAGCGAGTTTGTCCAAATTTATCTAATTTGAATTTAGCAAGAAATTCCAACAATGGAAAAGGAAGAGATTAGTGCTCATTTGGTCTTAGCTGTGTTAGTTAAGACCAAGAAGTGTAAAATGCAAATTCCTGTTCTAACACTCAGGAAGTGCTTAATGTGCCTTCATGGTAATACATCTACCAAGTAAGGATATGTTGTTTTTACTAACTTACCAGAGAAAGGGGAAAAAAAGCTCTCATCGTGTTGCAAGGCGCTTTTGTTCATGATTATGATCATCATCAAGGAATTCTTATTTCTACAAAACCCCCTTATTTAAAAAGTAACACACCTGAATAAAACTGAACTCCCTCCAGTTTAAGGCACTGTTTACTGAAGGGATGGAAGTTACTGCCAGCAAAGAAAGCAATCCAAGACTCATTATTCCAAAGGAGACATACATTTCAATTCGCCACACTTCTTCCTCATTCCAAGAATTTTCCACATTTGCATGAACCTGATGAAAGAACAGTAAAGCATAAAGAAGCACTTTATTGTATAGAATATTAAAAATATCAACAGAAGTGATTTTGCTGACTAAAGTCTTCAGTCACAGGACAACTATAAAATGGGGTCAAATATTTCAGAGATTTCCTCGTATCTTGGGAGAAAAATAATTATTTCCTTACTGCTGGTATTGGCTCTTGTAAAATTAAAAATATGTTAAACATAGAAACTTAGATGAATTGTTAAAAGCACATGTAACATTATATACTATTTATAACAATTATGTAACTCTGCTCATTCCTATATGCTGTAGAAAAGTAGCTGTGTTCTTCAGACTCTGGAAACTTAAATTTTATAACATACATTGGGTAAACCTGCAATTTTAGTTTGTTACATTCAGAAATATTTCAGCATCATTTCCTGGTTTTGCTTCAGCTCCCTATGCTGAGTCCAAGTTATTTTGCCTCTTACACTGTTGACATCAGATACATCCAATATTCTGTTCTTGTTGGGGAGCTTTATCAGAAAAAAGAAACTACTCAGGTCCTTAACAATTGAGGGGTGGATATTCGATTATTTTTCCACTTTCAGGTGAACTACTGTGATATTGCATGTCTTGAAAGAGGTTCACTAGGAATCTTAGCAAGTGAGATTTTTACAATATTATTAAAACCATGGTAATTTCTTAGTAAAAGTATCAGTGGATCCTTTACTAAGTGTGAACAATTACAGTTTCTTGCTGCCTTTTATAGTTTTGCTCTTCTTGCCTTTCTCTTAAGTTCAGTTTTTCATGCTAGTCCTTTAAGAATTTGTGGACCCCATCCCCGTGAATTTGTTTCATTTTATTTGATTTCCTTAGTCCGCTGTTCTTTCTGTTCCATCACATTTCTCTTTCCTGCAGGTTTTAGGTGCTGAATGGCAATGATGCTTTTCTACCACTTTAAAGGTGACAATAAGCTACCTCACTGACAGACAGGAGCATTAGACCCTCTTCTAAAGGATGACAGTTTTGTCGGAGATTGTTTCAGGTTTATGCAAGACCAATTGCTCCTGGGAACTGTGAATCAGTCTCTATTGCCTGGAATAGATGATGCTCACAGAATTTTTAATGAACAAAATATTTTTACCACTGGTCCAAAATGTTACAAAGTAGCAGCATTTCTATTTTATAAACATAGGTGTGTCTGTAAGCGTTATTACAATAACTACCCTTATACTTTTCACAGGTGTAACTGCACTTATGATATACAGACTTCCCCCATATGTTAAGTATACATAGAGAGGACCATACCTCAGAAGTTTCCTGCTGTTACTCTTAACCTGTCTATCCTACATTCTCCTTGTGTATATTACTATCAGGGATTTAAGTAGGATACATCCTTGATTTCCCCTGCCACACAAACTTGACTGCAGCTTGACCCACAAGGTGAGCACAATGCATAGATGTTTCTTTTAGTCTCCCTTCTTATTCAGCGCTAGCTATGCATAAGAAAACCCATAACATTCTCTGCTGAAAAGAGTGGAACACATTCATAAAACATATATATGTTGTATTCAGGAGCCACATGCATACAGCCAAGGCATTTTTGGCTTACTGAACTGAAGATCAGCTTACCTGCTGATATGCCATATTGAGGAACAAGTATCGCTCCGATCTCCTCATAGGTAAGCAGAGGCTGTATGCCACATGCACTGTTGCAAAGAAAAAACTGAGCAGTCCAAGCTGCTTTCGACACTGGAGCCAGTTGTCCAGCCAAGGTGGAAATCGCCTATACTTAGTACCATAGTGAAGCTGATAAGCAGCTGCAATAAGTCCTGATAAATACACTAGAGAAAGTAAAGTGATAGCAACAATTGGTAGAGTCTTGTTCACAATCTCTATGGGGATCTTGTAAAAATCACTCTGCTGATTTCTCACGTATGGATGGACTACATCTCTGACGAAGGAATAGATGAAGAAAAACGTTGCCAGACTAATGGCTATCACTACAGGCCCCTTCCACAGTGTGAACAGTCGCAGAGGTACATTTTCAATCTCCCTTGAAGATGACAGTGCCCCCAGATCAATAGGAATAAAACTGAGTTGACGGGCAAGCTCAATAACTTGATGGCGAGCCTGAACATGGTTACTGCATATATAGACCTGTTGGGAAAGTCAAGTGATTTGTCTGTAGTTAGAAAAAGAGACTCAAAGGTAAAAAAAACACAAACACCACAAAAAACCCTTAAGGGCCTCCAAGTCAAACCCACAGAACTACTGCTAAAACCGTACACTGTTATCCCAGCTTGTGTCACCAAGATGAGAATGAAACCACATACAACTCCAGACAAAGTGAACACAGCGCACACTGATTTAGAAACAGAGCAACCAAACCAAAATTGTCTTTTTCTTGGAGTTAATAATGAGCTGACTGAGGGATGCCCTGGCAATCTGCACAGACACCCTGCCCCACCCTGAAATGTCTACAGGACTGGATTGAATTTGAAACAATGGCTAAAAGCATTTCAGAAAATCACGAGGCTCTCAAAAATACAGAAATCTTGAATGATGACCCTAAACCAACTTTAGCATAAACAGAATACAAAGCAAAAAACTTATCTCTCCATGTATAACAATTTTAGCTTAATTTCACAATCCATATTTCCACAAAAATTAAATGTTTAACAGAAAGGACAAAAACTAGCAGCCAAATAAGAACTCCTTCTAAAGACCAGTTTATTACATAGTGAAAAAACCGCACTGCTACAAAGTACTTTAAAGTTCCTTTAAAATTTACAGTGGGCTGTAGTTTGCCCAACACTGCTGATCATCTGCATTAGAGCAAACATGAGCTTTTCTGACAGGAGTTAATTACTTATAGTGCAGTGCTATTCTGAAAGGGGATAAAAATAGTACGGTGAGGTTATTTTTAAAATTATGCTAATTCTGTATCAATTGCATTCCATTTAAAATCTACCTGAAGTGCCAGAAAACTCAATTTAGTCTCCAACAGTCATGTTACAGCAGTTATTTCTCATGCACTTCTTGGAGTCCATCAAGCTGTGAAGGACTGAGTTCTTGCATAGGCTGAAATCCTTTATATCACTTCAGCAAAGCATCAAAAACAAAGGCTGCTTTTCTATATTCACGATGAATTTGGGGAACATACTGGGAAGGAATTTGAACCCAAGTAGTCCTGGATCAAATAAATGATCACTTAGAAACATATGGGCCTCCTTCTGTTTTCTCATATTTATGATCTTGGGGCATTCTAAAATCTAGATAATTTCTTTCATTCACTTTGTTGTTACACTGAATGAAAGCATTTTTAGAACAGCTGACTCCTTAGCCCTGGGATCAGGACCTGAGATTTCTGTGCATTTTAGGTAGATTAGGTCAGGCAGGATGAAACCCATGAGTTCTGGCTGCTCACATTCTGTTCCTGACATTTTGATCTTACAAACAAGTTAAATTAATACAAATACAACATTTACCTGTCTGCTGGCATCCTTTGGTCCTAACTGCAGTGACCAAGCTGAAATGACATTGAATCCTTTGACAATCAGGGAATCTGGGAAAAGTGATGCCAAATACTCTGCATTGGAGTCCGGATATTGGTCTACTCTTGTATTATTGCTGACATCAATCAGAATTTTACCAGCAAGTAAATGTTTGAGGTCCCACAAAGAGGCATAATGTTCTCTGTGTATGGCTACAAAAATGATGCTTGTTTTTGCTACTGCATCTTCATGGTGAGTGACATCAACCACGTGGGGAAAGAACTCAGCAGCAAGTTTAGGGTTTCTGCTTCCTACGACCACATGGTACCCGCACCTGATAAGTCTAATTGTCAATGACTTAGCAAAGTCTCCGCTTCCAATGATGCCTATTGTGATCTTACTGGCATCCTTAATGCCATTGGCAACATTTGGTAGAAAAGTTTCATTGAGGTTCTTAGGACTTCCCATCATAGAGATTGATTCCATACTTCCAAGACACCAAACCTACAGTAACTTCTTCTGGGGAGTTAAAAAAAAAAAAAAAAAAAAAAAAAAAAAAGAAAGAAAAAAACAGAAAGCAACAGAAGGAAAAATGCAGCATCATAAAATTTTACGAGACATCAGAACCCATAAACACCTCTAGGAGCAAAATCTGTGCTTCTACGTTTCATGGTATATTTTCTCCATAAAAAGTATGTGCTAATCAAAGTTGTCTTGCAATGTTTCACTAATACAAGGAAAAACATAAAATACTTCAAGCACTTCAATAATACAGTTACAGAAATAAATTATATTTTTTTCTATCTTCTCCTATTCTCTATCTTCTATTGCTCCAGAATATTGGACCACAAGATAAAACTTGCACTCCTGAAACTAATGGCCAATGTAATAATAAGAAGCAACATGTAAGGAAAACTGGGCAATTATCGAAAATATTAGAAGGTAGAGATAGCTGGCCTGTGGCTGCCATAAGGACAGTGAGTTCATGGAAGTTGAATTCCACTAAAGGCTTATGCAGGTTATTATCGTGGTATCCTATACTGGCCAGGAAAGAAAGGATGAAAAAGTCTCAAAGCTGCAAATGTCATGGCTACCACCGTAACGCATACCTGTCATGGGCTGCCCGCATGGATCCCATGGCAAAGACAACAAGGGAGATTTGTCAAGGCCTATTCATGAGATCATTAATGACACTGCTAGGTCAGACTGCTAGGCCTGGCCATGGATGTATAAGGATTAACTGTGAGTGCAAGGGTAAAGGATTCAGGGCTGTGGGTCACAAATATGCTTAACAGAATTTTCTGACCAGGCAAAGAAGATAAATCCTGGAGACAAGCACATGGGACAGCATTCCACAAAAAGCTTATGGCAGGAAGAGATAGATTTCATGCAATAATAAAAGGTAAGATAGTTTCAGGACTCCAGTTCAGTAAGAGAGGCTTTGAAGAAGAACAGAGGCTAAAGCTCACAGAAAATGAAAAGGAATACTGCTATATCTTTGGAGAGAAGAGGTCACAGAACTGCAGTAAAGCTGTAACAAAGACAAAAAAGACATAACAACCCAATAAAACAACCCCCAGGAGGGAAGTCTTCACATAAACCCACAGTTACAACAAAAGTGGTTCTGCACTGTAGAAGAGATATGAGTTCTGAAAATGAAGGAAGCAATGAGCAAAGGCAGGTGAAGAAGAAGCAATGAGAAACCATGAGGTGGCTGTCTTGGGAGCAATCAACAACAGAGCACACAGAAAGGAGGAGCCAAATGAACTTCCTTCTGAGCCACCACCCAAGAGCTGATATGATCGTAACTAATCAGCAGTGGGGGACTTCATCCAGCCATTGGCTAGGAATACAGTATGTGTGGTGAACAACCTCCCACAATAAAAAATAGCTTTGTGTTTCAGAAAGTGGAGGAAGCTACTAGAAGAATGGGCACTTTTTATTTCAGCTTTAACTAGAAGGAAAGAACTCATTAAAACTGGACTGAGACTCTAAAGACAGAAAGCAATATGTGAAAGTGACCACAAAATCAGTATTCTAAGAAAAGATCCTAACACTGAATCTTTCCAGCAGAGGCAGGCCACATAAGATTTTTATGCACTCACTGAAAAAATACTTATTTCATACCATGCAAGCTGAAATGTACCTAGCACATGACCAAAATACCAGTATTTCCTGTACCACAATGGATTCACATCCAGGAACATAATGAGAATACCTGTATTTTGATCAGATAAGAGATATACATTAACTGGAAGTGACAGAACACGCATGCTTTCACCATGGGATGACAGAGGGCCATTTCAGTTCCTGCCACGTGATGTGAAGGTGCTGCAAAATTTTGGCATAGAAAGGGAACCGCAGTGAGGGAATGGGCTACCAGTAGCATTTAACCATACTTCAGCCTACTTTCAGTTTTTGTCCCAAGGATCCTTAGGAGGGTGGGCATCAAGGATTTGGACATGATGAATTGCTTTGGTGAGCTAAATTTGGCCCACTGGTCCAAGTTTCTCACTGCCTAAGGAAAGCTGAGTGTGAGGAACAGAATAAAACTAACAGACTTCAAAAAACCCCTCAGGAAATAGGTAGACATGACTCTTGGGCAAATAATCTAAGAGATAGAAGAAATCAGAGAGCTAGCAGTTACTGAAAGGGACTACATTAAATTCACAATAGCAATTCAGAGGCAAGAGAGTGTATGACTGTTTTAACTACATCAGGAGAGCTTTAATGACCTGAAAAATCACACAAAAAGTAAAAAAAAAAAAAAAAAAGGGGGGA